GATACAGGCATTCACATCAGGCTGATCCCTAAGCTGAATATGGGCCAGGGAACAGAGTCCTTGGTGCCCATGCACATACAAGAGGACAGATGCTGAAAAAATAGGGCAGACAGACTACTACAGCCAACAACAATTAAATATATATATATATATACATATATATATATATAATTTCTAAACCCTGGGGAAGAGAAAAAAATCTGAGACTCAGAGCTAACACATAATATTTGAATGTCCCAGTTTCACTAAAACATCAGAAAGCATACAAAGAAACAGAAAAAGACATCCCATTCAAAAGAACAATAGAAGACACAGAAATTGTCATTATGGAAGCCCAGATAATGGACAGACTAGACAACTTTAAAATAACAGTATTAAATATGTTCAAAGAACTAAAGCAAAACATGGATAAAGAACTAAAGGAAATCAGGAAAACAATATATGAACAAAATGAGAATATCAGAAAAGAGATAGGAACTATAGAAAGTTACTAAACAGAATAACTAGAGTTAAAAATACAACGATTGAAATGAAAAATTCTCTAGAGGGGCTCAACATCTGATTTGAGCTGGCAGAAGAAAGAATCAATGAACTAAGAATAGAAGATAATTTCATCAACATGAAGGGGCATTTAAGAAAAACCTACAGCTAACATCATACTCAAACTAAATGACTGAAAGTGTTACCCCTCAGATCACGAATAAGACAAGAATGCCTGCTTTAACCACTGATACTCAACATTGTGCTGGAAATTGTTGTTGTTGTTCTATGTCATTGAGTAGATTCCGACTCATAGCAACCTTATAAGACAGAGTAAAACTGCCTCATAGGGTTTCCAAGGAGCCGCTGGTGGATTTGAACTGCCAGCCTTTAGAATAGCAGCCTGAGCTCTTAACCACTTCGCCACCAGGGCTCCCTGGAAATTGTAGTGAGATAAATTTGGCAAGAAAAAGAAATAAAAGGTATCCAAATTAGAAAGGAAGAAGTAAAACAATCTCTATTCACAGATGGCATGACTCTCTATATATAGAAAATCCCAACGAATCTACAAGAAAGCTACTAGAGCTAATAAGTGGAATTAGCAAAGTCACAGGGTACAAGCTCAGCACACAAAAATCAGTTGTTTTTATACACCAATAATGAAAAATCTGAAAAAGAAATTAAGAAAACAATTTCATTTACAACAGTATCTAAAGGAATAAAATACCTAGGAATAAATATAACCAAGAGCATGAAAGACTTGTAAACTGAAAACTATAAATTATCACTGAAATAATTTAAAGAACTAAATAAACAGATAAATGGATTGGAAGACATAATATTGTTAAGATGCCAACACTACCTAAAGCAATCTATAGATTCAATGAAATCCCTATCAAAATTCCAAAAGTCTTCTTTGCAGAAATAGAAAATCTAATCTTCAAATTCATATGGAATTGCAAGCAGCCTCAAACAACCAGATCAATCTTGAAAAGAACAAATCAGGAGGACTCATACTTCCCAATTTCAAAATTTACCATAAACCTACAATAATCAAAAGCCTGGTACTGGTATAAGGATAGGCATATAGACCAATGGAAGAGAATTGAGAGTCCAGAAATAAACCTATTTATCTATGGCCAATGGATTTTTGACAAGGGTTCCAAGTGAGTTAATTCAATGGGGAAATAAATCTCTTCAGTAAAGGGTGTTGGGACAACTGAGGGCAAAAACATGTAGTTGGCCCCATACCTCACACCATATACAGAAATTAACTCAAAATGGATCAGTGATCTAAATATTAGAACTAGCCAACTTAGTGGAGGTGCAGTGATATTTCATTGTGGTTTTTATTTGCATTTCCCTAACAACTAATGAAGTTGAGCATTTTTTTCACGTGCCTATTGGTAATTTGTATTTATTCTTTGGTAAAATGTTTATTCAAGTCCTTTGCCAGGATATGCATTGAGCAAAACCAGTATCAGTTTCCATGATGACTCATTTCCAGTTTATTTTATTGAAAGTCTTCAACAATAATGAGTGGCAATGCCTTATCAGATTAATGACAGGAAGCAAAACAAGGTTTATTATGAATCAAAAAGTGTTATTATTCCATAACAAGGCTGACAAAATGTTTCCACAATATAAGAAAACTATTACTGGATGTTTACACAAATAATACATGTTATACGTTTTTTTTTTTTTTTGCCTACCATGCCCTCCTCCTGTGATGTATTTTCATAAGCTTAATCATTTCTAGTTTTTGATTTACAGTGAGAGACATGAGAGTCTTTCTTTCACTAGAACACTTAGAGGGCACTGTAGGGTTATTAATTGGCCAAATTTCAATACTGTCGTGTCTCAGGGCATAGGGAGGTCCGAGGAGAGGGAGAGAGATGGGGGAATGGCAGGTTGGTAGAGCAGTCAGAACACACAACATTTATCGATTAAGGTCACCATCTTATATGGGCACAGTTTGTGGTGCCCCAAAACCATTACAATAGTAACATCAAAGATCACTAATCACAGAAAACCATAGCAGATATAATAATAATGAGAAAGTTTGAAATACTGCAAGAATTACCAAAGTGTGACACAGAGACACTAAGTGAGCACATGCTGTTGGAAAAATGGTGCCGACAGACTTGCTCGACACAGGGTTGCCACAAACCTTCAATTTGTAAAAAAAAAAAAAAAATGCAGTATCTATGAAGCACAACAAAACAAAGCACAATAAAACGAGGTATGCCTGTACATGCAGATAAAGGCTGTTAGGTGGCACAAGCGGTTTGTGCTCAACTGCTAACTTAAAGGTTGTGGGTTTGAACCTACCCAGTGGTATCACAGAAAATAGGCCTGACGATCTGCTTCCATTAAGATTACAGCCAAGAAAACTACAGAGCAGTTCTGCTCTGAAACACATGGGGTCACACGAAATCGATTCTACTACAACTAACAGTAATAACAATGTACCAGGTAGAGCACCTGCATGGGCAAATGGTTAACATGTTTGGCTGCTAACCAAAAGGTTGGAGGTTCAAGTCAACCCAGAGGTACCTAGGAAGAAAGGCCTGGCAATCTACTTACAAAAAATTCAGCCATAGTAGCATTAATCTAAAAAATGCAAAATAATAAATGTTGGAGAGGTTATGGAGAGACTGGAACACTTATACACTGTTGGTGGGAATATGAAATGGTACAACCACTTTGGAAACTGATTTGGCACTTCTTTAAAAAGCTAGAAATAAAAGTACCATATGATCCAGCAATCCTGCTCCTTGGAATATATCCTACGGAAATAAGAGCCGTCACATGAATAGATATATGCACACCTACGTTCACTGCAGCACTGTTCACAATAGCAAAAAGATGGAAACAACCTAGGTGCTCATCAACAGATGAATGGATACAAAAATTATGGTACATTCACACAGTGGAATACTATGCAACAATAAAGAACAATGATGAACCCGTGAAACATCTTATAACATGGAGGAATCTGGAAGGCATTATGCTGACTGTATTTAGTCAGTCGCTAAAGGACAAATATTGTATGAGACCACTATTATCAGAACTCAAGAAAAGGTTTAAACACAGAAGAAAA